GGAACACAGTAAAGGCTAGTTAATTGTATTTAACCAGACCTGGCCAGACACAAGTACTTACAAAGTTACTCTTAAAGTCATTGGTGATTGATTCATAATATTCCCACTTAGTCTCTTGCACATTCTCCCAGAGTGCAAGTTGATCCTTAGGTGTGTTCACCACAAGGTGAGATTGAATTGACACCGAATAATCATGGACCTAAAGAAACAGCTATTAATCTACCGATCATGATCAGTGACTATGCATATATTTATGTAGCATGTTTTGTTTTATATTTCCAGGTTGATAACCAGTTACCAGATGCCTTCTTTACCTCCGTCATATACCCGGCACCACTACCTAAACATGTTATCAGAAAATCTGGTACCAAGCCATTAATTGAACTCTCTGTGATGAGAAGACAAGTGCCTGAAAATAACGTTGATACTTTCAGGTAGGTTGAGATGTGATTTGATTAGGGTTATTTAGCAATAAAGTGGTGAGATGGAATGTGAAAGGATAAACAAAACTTGGAATTTGAGGTCCAAGTCTGAAGTATAATACAAATGTATCCTAAATCTGAGATGATTGATGATTGTGCACAAAAGGGAAGGGATTTAATATATTTACTGTTATTATTATTATTTACAAATGGGTATAAATTGTGGAGATTTACCAAAATGTTATCTTTAGATTGACCAGCTGTTTGTCTTCAAGTATCTTGAAAAGCTGTTTGTTGATTTAACATTATACTTGTAAACACTATACTCGTAAACACTATACTCGTAAACACTATACCTGTAAACATTATACTTGTAAACACTATACTTGTAAACACTATACTTGTAAACATGTTTTTCTTTTCTAGATATGTCAAGGTGCTGATACAACAAACTAATATTCGAATAGACAAAGGATTTCTACTTTCTGTTGTTGACATATTCAGTACATTAGGTGAACCTACAGAAGAGGTGAGTTGAGTTCCCAATGCCTAGATATCGTTTATTGCATTATTTTACTCAAAATGAAGGAAATATCTTTTTGTGAAAAAGTCATCTTATATATTGCACATGAATCTATTACAGAAAAAAGACTAAAAACGGTGATTTTGCGGAAAATATATCTGCTTTATTCATGAACTAAATGTGTTCACTAGATGACATATAGTATACTTGAACACATGTTTTTAAGAACAAAGAGTCAACTCTAACATTTATACATGTTGAAATTACACAGTATACACAGCATTGTTATACTGTTAGTTAATTGTTTGTTAACAATTTACTTTATAACAACAGCTAAATGAAGATGGTAGTCATGTGACAAGGGAGGTGAGATATCCTTGTCATCTTGGTGGTAACAGGTCAAATAACGGTGGAGGTGTGGCTTTCGACTATACCTTTGGAATTGGAGTTGTTTGGTCACCATGGCGACAACTTTATTTACATATTTTATTCTAAATACTGCTAAGCTCTTTTCACTTCATTTGAAGGCTAGTCTACCCACAGTGCACCTTGTTTACACAGCAGCTGATTTCAATCTCTGACATAATGTATTATATTGCATCTTGGGTAATTTCACAATATGCCAATTGCATCATGGGTAATTTTACACTATGCCATTTGCATCATAGGTAATGTCACACTATATAAATTGTCACATGGCACAGTAACTGTCATCAAACATATTTTTCTCTCAGTTTTTGTCAAATAGTTTGTTTGGTATTTGGTTGTATTTAAACACTTATAAAGTTCACATGGGAGAATAATTGCAGATGGTTTTGTGACAATTATAATAATTTGTATCTTGTTAAGTTTTGGTTGTTCGATTTATTCCAGTATCAGTATTCCTAGGTGTGTCTTTTTTGGAATGGAAAATAGTCTTAATTTGAAACATTGTAACCATACTTCCAAATACTGTAAAATGACTAATTTTCACAGGGTTTAAATTTCACTGATTTAGCATTTCATACATATTCACTGGATTTTAATTTGGTGCATTTTCTAGTCAGTGAAATAAGCAGAATTAAAACCCATTGAAAAATTAACCCTTTTACAGTAACAATGGAGCAGTTTATCTGTTGTAATTGGAGTAACAAACAAACAAACAAACATTCCACACTACCCAGAATACATTGCTGTTAAATGCCTTGCTATCTAGCAAATATAATTGAACAATCTATTTCACTTCTAGCATAAATATAAAATTTAATCTGTAATAATTGCTTCTAATTCAACTATGAAGAAGTAGTAACTAACATTTCTCTATTATCAGATGGTACAACTAAGACAGGATCTTGGTCGAGTTAATGAAACATTGAAACAAACATTGGCATATATGGTTGCTGAGCAACCACAGAAAAGCTACTTTGAGTATCTTCATCTTTCTCCCTTGAAGGTAAGAACTGCTCATTTGTTTCGTAACTTAATAAATTACGAGACAGTTGGCCACCCATGTAGGACCCATTTTGTTTTCTGTATACTTGTTAGATATAATGTTCTCAAATGCAAGATTTCATGTCTTAAGTAACAAATATTTAGAAAAATGAAAACAAGTTTGTAAATCTCACCCTATATTGTTATTAGGTGCATATTGGAATGTACACATTCTGAGGTAGTTTCATTAGCACATTTTAAACTTTTGGGCACCATAATCCCCCCACCCAAGTTTTGCCTATTTTTTCAATGTTTTTGATAATTGTGGATCAAATATAAAAAAAAAATAAGTTGGGTTTTAATTTTTGAATGATCCCAAAAGTTGACAATGGTATTCAAATGAAAATTTCATTGTTTACATACAAGATAGATAAATCAGATATCAAGACAAGTTATAAAAATATAAACTACACATCAACTTTTTCAATTTTTTGGGTCGGCCGAGCATCAATTTCACTGTGAAAAGCTTCTTCATGAGAATCTCTGCCTCACTGTGCTGGAATTCTATTACTGATTTACCCCTACCAATAAATTCAAATGAAATAAATTACTCTACAGTATTTCATATTGTATTTATCAATAAAATTGATTGTAAATGTACTTAGTTTACATAACATTATATTTTAAGCTTGGCATAAGTTTCTCATTAAGTGGTGTGCCACATGTGTCCAGTGGAGAAGAGAGATCTTTTAAATCTGATATTATTGGATTCTTTATCAACTCTGTTGGCGCTACTATCACTGATATTAGAGACATAGAAATCAAGTAAGTCAACTGAAATTGTGTTAGCCAATCGTATACCATTTAAAAATTGTATTAGCCAATCATTTTCAATATGAAATTGTGCTAGCCAATCAGATACCATATACAAATTGTATTGGCCAATAATTTTTCATATACAAATTGTGCTCGCCAATGAGATACCATATACAAATTGTATTAGCCAACCAGGTCCTATATATAAAAATTGTATTAACATAATCAGATCCCATATACAAATTGTGTTAGCCAATCACATACCATATACAAATTGTGATATTCAAATAGGTTCCATTTACAAATTGTGTAAGCCAATTGGGTTTTATATACAAATTGAGTAAGCCAATCGGGTTTTATATACAAATTGAGTAAGCCAATCGGGTTTTATATACAAATTGTGTTAGCCAATCAGGTCCCATATGCAAATTGTTTTGGCCAAACAGGTTTCATATAGAAATTTTGTTAGCCAAACGTGTCCCATACACAAATTGTGTAAGCCAATCATGTCCTATATACAAATTAACAATAAACAGTTTTACGTCACCATTTCGACAATCACAAATGCCACAAGCCTAGCAATTAGGCATATGTACGCTTCATTGCTGAGTAACATTTATCCAGGAATCTTGTAAAAAGTCTTTGTATATAATCTACCATCAGACTTGCATACTTTGAGAGGACCAATATCTTGATGTCTACACAACAGTTGTTATCTGAAGTCAGAGGTCATTACATCTCACAAGCAATTAGACAGGGTTATATTCTACTCCTCGGCTTGGACGTACTCGGCAATCCATATGGCTTATTTAAAGATTTCTCAGAAGGAATCGGTGATCTCTTCTATGAGCCTTATATGGTGAGTAAATGCTGTCAATCAGCATACCCTTATGTAATCTCAAAATTCTTTATTCAACACAAGAATGCAAATTTGTGGTGAATATTCCTTATGAGGTTTGTATGATCTATCCATGACTATGGGTCGGCACCAGCCAAGATTAGATCACAATCCAAGTTTATACATGAGCCATTACATTGTGATGTATTTGTATACATATAAAGTAGCTGGAGTACTGAATTAAAATCTCTATACAGGGTGCCGTACAAGGTCCTGGAGAGTTTGCTGAAGGATTAGCCAGAGGAGTACAGAGTCTATTAGGCCATGCTGTGGGTATGTAGTGTCAATAAGGGCGCCCTCTATGGTCATTAAATATATATTGCATTCTTTTACTGAGAGTGTAATAGTAAAAACTAATGGAAATAATAATAGAGAATAAGGAGTGAACTTTTAACTCCAGCATTTCACTTCATATCATAACTAATGAAAATAATAATACAGAATAAGGAGTGAACTTTTAACTCCAGAATTTCACTTCATATCATATCAATAAGCTCTGCAACAAGAAAGAGGGTTACGTATTCCACAATTACTGAATGTTTTCCAGTCTTGCTATTCCTCTAACATGTGAAAATGGTGCATGATGAAACCAGCCTAATTACTGATATCATAATAGAAATGTGCCCCTGATTATGACCCTGGCGTTGTAGTCAAAGTAATCACATTTTTCAAAGTTGACCAATAATAATAGCGTCACAATCACAGCGTTGTTACTGTATCGTACATTACAGGTGGCACAGCGGGTGTTGTGGCTCGCATAACTGGCTCAGCTGGTAAAGCTTTGGCAAGTATATCATTTGATGAAGAGTTCAAGAAGGTGAGAGTTTTATTCTTTTATCATACATTTTGTTATGTACAATTAATGTATTGATACAGAAGTAAACATATTATCTGATTTGTTAATTTATTAATTATATTTATTATTTTTATTTTGTCAGAGGAGAAACCGAAGGATGCAGACCCATCCGGATAATCTGCCAGAAAGTCTACTTTTAGCAGGAAAGGGATTTGTATTGGTAAGATAGTGTAATCTAAAACCATTGAGGATTAGATTAGAATTTAATCTGAATCCACACCAGTGATTGTATGATATACTATTAATTTTAACAGTTTTGAAGAATTTCTGGGGACAAAATTTTATGAAATAAGGATGACTCAGTGTTTTAAAAATCTAAAATGACTGCCAAAAAATGTCATGGTTTTTCAGACCCACAAATTTCAATTTGCCTCTCAGGAAATTAAAATGGTTTGTCGCCTTTCAATATTGTGGTTCATTCACTGATGAGAAAAACAGGAAAAAGTGAAATCATTCTAGATGCAAGATTGAACTGAGATTTAACATACTGCCAAATGGCTTGTCAAATATACTTATTCTGAAGAGAATAATTCATTATAATAATTCATTTAACATGTATAAAAAACAATTAAAATTTGTTTTCTTAAATTAAAGCTGACATAAAAATGACTGACAATTGAACTAACTGCACACTTGAAACTCGATAAAAATATTGGTGATAGCCATGTGTATTAGCATTGTCATGGCAACTAGCCTTGTGGTTTTACAAACCAAATTCCAGGCTGATGTAAATGCCACAGTTACCCTGCAGCACAATCAAATTTTGTTAATAAGCAATGTAATTTAATAATGTGTTTAAAACATTGCTTTGGACCGATATAAAACATGATACAGCACTTTAAAGTTAATTCTTGTTATGTTGTGTTTATCTTAGGGTGTAGTGATGGGAATATCCGGTGTAATCGTAAAACCAATCCAAGGAGCGCAAGAAGAAGGCATCAAAGGATTCCTGAAAGGCATTGGAAAAGGAATTCTTGGATTGATAGTTAGACCAACTGGCGGTATATTCGATATGGTTTCTATGACGTTTGATGCTATTCGACGTGCAGCTGATATGGGAGAGCATGTTGTTTATAGAATACGACAGCCACGATTTATCAATCCACACGTGGTGAGTTCGAGTCATTTCATGAATTACCATATTTGGTCTAATAAAGCATGTGAACTGTATTTGATCTACTAGAAGTCTTTACTGTATAGTGAGCAAATACAGTAATATGGAATAATAATAACATGAGGTTATTACAAAGATACCAAAAAGTATGCATGAAGACAGTACAGTGGGAGTATCGACCGACGTGCAGCGGAGGTCGATGCGACCGTGTACTATCTGTATCGGTATCTTCGTAATAACTTTATTATTATACATCTTTTCCTCCCAAAGATACATCATGGGAATGCCGAAATACAAAAAGTTTAGAACAGATTGAACGAACTTCTTTGTATGGGTCCAGTCAAGTACTCTGGAAACTGACATGTTTGTTTTCATTATTAGAGAACGCTTACATGTGTAATCGTTCCATATTTGGATTTCGCATTACCATATAGTGTAGGATGAAAATGCCCAGTGCAATACCGCAAAATTACGGCACGCTGTAACTTATGGCGTTACGGTGACAGATGTATAATAATAATCTTTATTAGCTTTACAATCTTGTAAAATCTCTTTACATCAGAGACAAAATAAAATGCTGGTCTACTTGTTATCCATCACCAAGAAAAACATTTAATTTGAAATATTTCACTTCATGAGAGCCAAAAGTTTATGATGGAATGTACAACAAATGTTATCAAAATTCAACTCTAAATGAAATGCCTTTCTTATGCTATTGTATCCTTTCTAAGTAAAAATCAAATGAAGTACATCTTTGCTTATACTCAAGTACTCTTGGTTATAAAATTTTGTCTTTGATACATTTAATTGTTTTTACATTCCAGGGTGTCAAGCCTTTCTCTCCGTATCTCGCTATTGGAAATATGCTGCTGTTTAATTTATCCAAAGGACGATACAAAGACAGTGATATTTATTTTGCTCATGCCTCATTGAAATCAGATAAAAAAGACAATCCAGATGTTGTTATATTAACTGACAGGTTAGTTGGTTGTCATGACAACAGCATACATTATGTGCAGAAATGTCATTCCTCCGAAAATTACCATATCATTTATTGTTTTTTGGTTTTTTAATCAGTTACTTATGACCATCTTCTTAGTTACCATAGTGATGTTGGTGTGCAATCTTTTTCGAGCTTAAGCAAAATGCAACAAATGCATGAAAACTTTTGGAAAATAAAAACATTTTGTCATTTCTTTTAATAGTTCCTTGCATTAATAAAAAAATTAGCATCCATTCTGAAGTGATCAGAGTTTATTTTGTCACTGATATAATTCCATATGTCTCTCACCTTTATAGACAGATGATGCTTCTTGAAAAGTGTCGTTTCTGGGGAGGATGGGATGTAGAAGAGGCTTATTTTTATGAAAATATCGTTGGTGTTCCGGTGTTGTCAGATGACAAAATAATATTCAAAGTCAAGGTCAGTTATAATAATAATAAATGTTATTGTGTGTTCAGCTCAGTATGTACAGCCATGTTAACAGTCAATTGTTTTTTGACTTCTTTCAAGTTTTTGAATTGTGATTTAAATTGTTGTCAAGTATATCTTGATATGTTCACTCCAGAACAATTCTTCTTTTCGTTTCACATTTTGGTCAACTTTACTATCAACATTTACATCTCTTTAGTTCGCAGTCATGTGATGTTTTTTTTTTGTATAAAATTGTTTTTCATTATAATTTGTTATAAAATTATAATAGCAGTTAAAAGATTTACCACACATTTGTTGCAAGGATAAAAGAACTTAAATTGAGTATGATTTTGAGAAAATTTAGTCGTGTGCTAACAAGTTGTAGGAGTATAAGCAAATAGGTTGGTTGCATTCCTGGTGTTTCTCTGGAAATATTCTAAAATGATATTATTTTTCCTACAGGATGGTGATGACAATGTGTTCTCTGCTCAGACGGTAGACATGTATTCCGACGATGAGAAAGTGCTCAAGGTAAAATAATCTAACATAACACGACAGATGTTTTATTTGGCATACACCATATCAGAATGCAACAAGAATTCTTAAAAAGTCATTAATGTATAAGGTTTGTGTCACCGTAAAATGTTTCCAGCAAGATGACACATATACATAATTAAAGTTTTTTGTGTATTTGGACATCAAATATAATTATTAAAAATGTCAAGATAATCAGGAAATTCAAACTTTCTTCATTGTTTGACAGTGCCACATAATGCAGTACAACTTTCAAATTTATACGTCACATGGGACACAATACGATGCTCGACTTTCATTTTGAGAATGAAAACAAAATAGTTACTGTAAAGTGTTGTACATGTCATTTCAAATCTGTTTGTCAGACTGCATGGATACTGTGCTTGTACGATAACATACATTTATATAATTACATTCATTGCAATCACCAGTAGCCGGCATTGATTCTGTATTTGAAATATCTTTTTTTTTCAGTGGTTACACTTGAAATTAGAAAAGGCTATTATGCTCCATCGAGAAGAAACACTAACACTTGGCATTGAGTGAAAGAATGGAAATAAAAACTATTTATGGATTCCTCAATATTGATAATTTATTTTATTTTGTGTGAACTAAACATATTTGTGAATATTTTACTTTGCTAACTATCAGTACTCTAGGGATTTATTACTTTTACCGTAATCATTAATTAAGAATTTTGTTATCAGGGTGATATTATTAGTGATTATTTTATCAATGAGGGCAAGTCTTGTTTATCAAAAACAAATTTCTTTTTTCTTTGGATAAATCTTTTCGTTAGATAAATCTATTCTAAAATGTCATATAGTATTCATCATTATTTTATCAATGAGGGTAAGTCTTGTTTATCAAAAACAAATTTCTTCTTTCTTTGGATAATTCTAAAATGTCATATAGTATTCTATAAGTAGAACACTGCTTATCAAGTGAACATATTAGCTAGAACCCTGACTGTACGAATGTACGGTGAGTAAAATGAAATGTTAATGGTATATGAAGTGGAACACACTGACTGTTCATTGAACACATTAAGGAGATATTAAACTGGGTGTTTAATTGCACATCAGTTTAGAACCCAGACTGTCCCATGGACTCAAAGAAGAGTAAATATTTAACAGTGAAGGATTTGCGTTGCAGGAGACTTTAAATTGTATTTATTTTCATGTTTCCATCGTATAAAACAAGGATGAGTGTAGTAATATATTGTACATAGTCAGACAACATATACAGAGTTGCTCATGATTATTTAATTTTAGAAGCTCTAAACATCTTAATTTAAACCAAGCTAGGTACCCTCAATATTGCTTGAAAACAAAATTGTATAGACATAGATATCATATAAAGTATATTAAATGTTAATATTTATAAATTCAAGAGAGAATGGAAATTTACGTGGATTGTGCAATTATGTAATTGATGTTCTATTATAATTTACAGTAGCATAAGCCCTTCCCTAAATTTATGAAACGCAAATGGTGAATTTACATGTGTACTCCCTAGGTTATAAAAATGTGGCAATGAGACCCCCTAGAATATGATAGAAATGTTGTATGGCAATGATACTTCCTGCTGTAGTCAATGTTATAAATGCAATGTGGCTATATAATGTCAGAAAAACTGTTAGTATTATACCTTATGTACATTTGTGTCAAAATTCAATTTCAATTAGTTATTTGTGTTTTTTTCGTGAAGTATTGTTGTACTGGATACAAGTCCGGCATCGAAATCTTGCCAAATTTTATTTGTGTTCAACACAAGTATGTTGAAGTCATTATATTGTTCAATATTTATTATTTTAGTTGTGTGTATTTTTACAGTTATTGGTTGATATAATTAACTCAATACCATTCCAGTTAATATTATTTGTTTGCTGTACAAGATAAGGAGATTGTTTGCATGTCAAATAAATATTAGCTACCACAATTGAATTGATCTTTTGTTTACACATTATGGTAATACTGCACGAGTAGTCGTGCTGTTTCAAATGTACAACAACACTTATGGTCAGCGTCTTGCAAACATCACAAGACCGAAGACACAACTGACTAGCTAAGAGGTGTGATTAACGACTTGTACCATGATAATCCAACAAAAACATTGAATAAATGCACACACTGCTTTGCTTATTGCTGTCAGTGAAATGGCGCATTTGCATGAACACAATAGACTATTAAAAGCATTGTTGTGCATGTCACATGACAAGGAATGTATCATAAAATCCCTCATCAAGTACTGTAAAATCTGTATTAGAAACCGCGGCTTCTATTAAAATGGTACAATGCAATAGAGGGGATGAGGCTTCTATTAGAGCATCAAAACATATGAGAAATGACGAATTTTTGGTTCTCAATTATTCAAAAAGAATGGGTGCGACTTCTATTAGGGATGCGGCTTCTAATACAGATTTTACGGTAGGGATTATAGGTACAGTTTATTAATACAAAAGTCAAGTTTCAAGCCCAGCTTGGTCAAGTTTTTCAATATTGAGAAAGAACTTGTCCATCTCCAAAATTGCAAACCTTGACATTTAGCTAAATTTAGGATTGCAAGACAATACTACCAAATTTGTAAATTGCTGATCTACATGTGCAAGACCCAAAACTGTGGTTATTAGTCCCCGTTCGGACATAGTCCGAAAACGAGGACTTATGGATTGACCTCTGTGCATCCGTCCGGACCAATCACAATCAAACTTCACATATACATTTGCACATCAATTTGTTTCACATTCTGATTCCAAATAGCGGCCATTTTTGTGCAGATTTATGGATGAATTTTGTTCAAACTTAGGTAGATATATTAGACATGGATTCCTGATGCATGTCATTTTATTTTGCAGATCAGATTCAAAATGGCTGACTGGTGGCCATTTAGTTTTAATGAATTTGCTTCATACATGTATCTCTGACATGCTGTGACTGATTATGTTCAAATTTTATATATACATTATGTTATGGATATATAGATGTATTCAAAATGGCCGATTTTGTTTTAATTAATGCTGTGTCAGAGCAATATCTCTCAATATGGACAAGTTCTTGTTTGATGAGCTGTCTGTTCATTCATTGGCTTGCTAATACGGGTCAATGTTGTCAGTCACTTCTATATCATTTTGGCACAGTAGCAATATGAAGGAAGCAGAAACTTGTTTTATTCACTGGTCACACTACCTGGTATTCACATCATTCTAAGCAAAAGATCCTGACCAAGTTCACATGAAATTCTGGCATGCTAATTTATTCAAACTCATTGGATTGATCAATTCGCATTCTAACAGCCATTTTGATATGATAAAATTGTATATTCATACATTTGCACCTTTTTGTAATACATAGTAAAGTCACATTATTTTTATTTAACCCTATTTTGAAATCAAGTGTAAATTACATAGATCTAATCTGCATATGGTTCAAAGAAGGCACAATTCCTGTGTACATTTCATTCATCATGGAAATATTATAAATAAATCCCTAAAAAATGTATTGATCTGATGCCAGATCTATATCAGTATAAGTTTCAGTATATGGCTGAGAACCTATATGTGGCATACCCGACTCGTAGACCCCAACACCTACTGAGGTTAGTTTGGTCCTAGTAACATCTCATTGCAGTGAGATTATAGATTTGATTAGTTGAATGAATACGCAGTCTACTGTCACACAAAGCACAGCATACAAACTGGCCAATGAAAATGAGCGTCTTATTTCTATATGCTTATCACACCTCATAGTGTGCAAGACGTTTAAATCTCAACTGGGCATTATTGTAGTGGGCAATTTGAAAGCCACATAAATTTTACTCAAACAAAATAGATACCTTTATCCAATATACATGAAAAAATGCTTACTCAGCATTTCACAAATCTAATATTTCAGAAACAGCTCATTTTAAATTCCAGCAGGCACAAGTGTATAAGTTATATTTACAAATGGAGGAGTTAAAACTACAGAAATAGAGGGGTGATATCCAGAAATAAAAGGGTTAAATCTACAAATAAATGGGTAATAGCTACAAATGGAGAAGTTAAAACTACAGAAATAGAGGGGTAATATCCAGAAATAAAAGGATTAAATCTACAAAAAAGAGGGGTGATAGCTACAAATAAATGGGTAATAGCTACAAATGGAGAAGTTAAAACTACAGACAGAGGGATGATACTAGTAGCTACAATAAAGTGATGATAGCTACAAATAGAAGCGTGATACAAATCTTGTTAATTTTATTGGTTTAGGATTGTGTAAAAATTTTGTTTCTGAATTCACTATGTAAGCAATGGCCATTGCTATAACTACTACTCATATGATGATGTGCTTTTTCTTTTTTTACTTTTCTTCTTAGTTTTCACTGTCGTCATCTCAAGTTTCTGTTTAGTTTTCCTAAAATGATCCGGCTCATTCTTCCCAAACAAGAATTCTTGCCAACAAACAGCTTGCATTTCTGAAAGATATAATTTAATGCAAAACATAATTGCGAGACACTCTCAAATGTATATATGATATGTGTATATTTTCATAGAAGCATGGTTCCACATTAGCTGTATTACCAGTGTACACTCATGTAAATTACAGAGGTATTTCTATGGTTACACTGAGTTATACTTTTAATGATCCAGTTTGCAATACATGGATTTTGCTGAATAAGCTTATTATGCATTCTCTAAGTAATACTGTAAAATGCTACAATGCAACAGAGTGGATGCAGCTTCTATTAGAGCATCTACACATACAAGGAATGATGAATTTTTGGTTCTCAATTATTCAAAAAGTATGGATGTGACTTTTAATAGGATGCGGTTTCTAATACAGATTTTACGGTAAATAAAATACAAAATAAACATAGCAAACTTTAGAGAGATCATCTGAATTATGTTTTTGAGAAAAATAAAACCCTTATTTTCAACACTACATTAAATTCATTGACTACAAGAATGGTGTTATAATCTTTGCATGATTAGAAAGCTTATGCAGTGCCGGTCTGGTATTGTTTAACACCAGAATTGTGACCACATCAACTGTGTTCAAGCTAGGCATTGTAATACATTGGTTTGATTGGTTAGGGGATTCACACGCCCGTGATAATGGTCTTCAAAATTGCTCTTATATTGTGCCAAAAATGTTAGAAATTATGAAATTATGACCAATCCATCTGTAACAAATTCTGATTACACATGCAAATTTTTAGCAATGCTCAAATCTGAGTTTCTTTGCCAAGTATTTAAGAGTGTGTTTATCTTTCCTGTTTATTAGCATGGAATATATTTTATGTCGATCTTTGGCTGTTTCTCATAAAGATATCCAATTATATTGTTATCACTTACGTGATGTTTCAGTTGATATTGAGAGTGAAAACTTACTGTTGGTAGTGGCAATTTCCTGATTTTCACTGACTCATGAAATTTACAAAAAATTTGCCTTGTGTGAAAATAATGGATTCACAGTATTTTGACTCGTGTCATAATTTAAAAAACTTACCAGTATTCAGCTCCAATTCGGATGCTGCATTCACAGCGCTATCGAAGACGGATATCTTGTGAGCTCGTTCTGAATCATTAGTGCAGCATAGAATTGATATTTTGGTAAAACTCTGGAATATTTTATTCAACTGTTCGAGTGTGTTAATGTAGAATTCCACATTGTGTGTCTGTGTTTGTTTTACATCAGACAGCTCTGTAGTGCCTCCATCCTGAAGCAAGGTGAGCTCAGAATCGACAAACATTTGATGTACAACTGGATATATACTAAGAAGAAGATTAAGGAGATGAGATCCATCAATTTTATCCGTAATTACCGACTCTCCAATCCCAGTAACCGAATCTAACCATCCTCTAGATGTCACCACAGAATATCCAATTGATTTGTTGTCAATAACACTATTACACACCCATAGTACATGATTATGGATGCATTCAATGCTGACATCTGTAGAGTCGAGAACCTTCCTGAGTGACCACACAAGGACAAACAGTAGGGTCTCGCAGTCCATATCTTGTACTTGTGTGTTTCGCAAGATACTAAGTAGCAATCTCAAACACTCAAATTTTATATCATCGTCGACTTCCACATCAGTATTTCTCCTTTGCGGAGTTGCTGCGGCAACCACTGTGTCATTGGATCTTTTGAATGATAGGTTTGCAAGGACAACAACATCATGGAATGTTTGGCCATATTTACACATAACAGAGAGAATACGATCACTGGATGGAGTTTTGCCATAGGTTGTGTGTTGGTAAGTCGTCACAGATTCAATGAGCTGCAGAATCAGCTTTAGGAATGAGGCAGGAATTTTCAACCTGAAATCCAAATAATAGTCACATATGAATTCATAACATAGTGTCAAACAAATCTATTCTCGAGATGAGATTGCAACAGAAATTAGTATTCATGAAATACTATGAATATCTAATTAATCTGCTGCATATATCTCACAATTTAATACGTCTTGAACTGAAAACAATATGATTTGGCGTTCCGTAAAAAAACGTATTACACATTAAAAAATGTATCAGCACTCCTTTAGGTATCAAATTAATCTTTACATGGGGTACTGGTAAACTATGTCACGTTCCAAGTTATTAATGTCACATTAAAACACTTCACTTTGTTTACATTGGATGTAGAAGTGCTATAGTGCACGACAGTCACTGAACACAAATGTTCGCACTATTTTATTTACAATTTCAGGCTATAATCTCTCATTTAAAGCAGGGGAGTCGTCACCTGCGCATGCGTCAGATCGCCATAGCCTGTGGTTATTTACAAACAAGCGTCTACCCATGAGCCTTTGCGTTTTTAGCATGTGTTGTTATCATCGCTTGGGACTCAATTCCCGCGCGTGCGCATGTGACAACCCTCCCGCATTAATTATCACTACAAGCAGTAAAAAGATTTATAATAATAAAGTTACACGAGAATACCACAAAGTATAGACAAGTACTGCCTGCCTTTATATTTTGCAGTATTCTCATATTAGTAGATGTCCTAAAGATATAATTTAAGAGACGTAACAGAATGAGAATATTCCATACTTACTCTAGCTTGTTGAGTACAGCATCACATATAATAAACACACCAATAATAGTACGCATAGAAACCAAACTCTGTGGTTTGTTATCAACATCTGACTTGGTGTACTGCAATTTGGGAGCTGATAAGGTCATCCACATTGTGTTCACTGTGTTCACAACTGATTCTAACACATCATTATCACTGAAAAAATAACACAAATGATTACAAAAAAACAGATAATTGACAGATTTGAATAAACTTTCTGAAATATCACACCAGATATGAAGAATGTCAGTTTTAGCACAAGAGCAGAAGTTTGAGTCATTCAAACTCAGAACACTGTAAATTACCTTGTAATAATAATAGAGTGTAACCATGGCAACAATCCATGGTATCTACCAAGCTCCACAGCTCCTCCTCTGATTGTAACAGCTGATTTGATGATATCAAGAATTTGAATCTAAAGATTTAAAAGAAAACAAATTCATTAAAAATCACACTGTCCCTGTAGGTACTTTTTCATAATGATCTTTCATGACTTATAAATCTCCACACTATTTATCACACCAACTTTAATTGACACAATTAAATAAATTGTTGCTTTCTTTGCAGTTGCATGAACTTATTTTTTTTTCACACATAATCCACTATTTTTTTTCAGCCACGCCTTAGCCAAGCGTTTTTAAACGTGTTTTCAAACATCACATTGCCGGCTATGTTGGTGTAATTTTTCATGTGTTCTTAACCATTTCCTGGATGTACTTTCAACAATTTTGTTCGAATCAGGTACAAAGACAGGACATAATGGTTCTCATGGACATATGCATGATGGTTTGATATTAGTTATGATGATGTTTGACAGATTGGAAACCATTTTCACCCATCAATTGTTTGCAAGGTTAAGTTACTGATGGATGTCATTTCATTTAACGTATTCATTAGAATGAAATAGACCTTGTTTGTATATAGCAGAATTTCTGTTTGAAGATGCAAAATTACGTCTTTGAACACGGCATATCCGAGTAAATGGATTAGCATCAAACATTTTTTTGGTTTTTGGGACTGATCTAATTCAAACTCTGTATGCATATCACATGGGTGGCTAATGACTTTATTTCATATGATTCTAAATGTTCTACCCGTTTCTCAGATACAACTCTAAACTTTCAGGTCTTTTAACCCAAAATGCTAATATGACCCAAATAGGTTTTGAAAAATAACTAAGACTTGTAGTCTGCCGTAATGTTACCTTGGTTACTTTATCACAAGTGGCAGAACTGAAGAGTGACATGATTTGTTTGAAGACAAAACATTTCTTGTTACAAATGTAGAAATCTAATTGATCTCGTAAACCGTCCTGACATATCTTTAATATCCATTCATGTTGACGTTTGAACTGAAAAAATAAGAGAAGTTAAGATCATCACAACTACCACACTTTTGAAACAACAATTTGAAATTTAATGTAAAAACTTGGGTACCTAAACTAGTTTCTGAATTTTGAACCTTGTATTTATTTTGCATCGCGTGTATGAAACATCCAATATGATTGGTCAAAAGTGGTCATATTGTTTGGTACATATTGATATTGGCCTCTTCCAGCATATTTATTGTCTCTGGTGCCATTTTGCATGTTATTGACTTCTAATGTCATAACATAACAATAACAAGATTGGTGACATCTTTGAATAAAGTACAGACATATCACTTACTTATAAACATGCATACACAAAATTCAAACTCATGACCTTGCCAAAGCGCCGTATCCCTGTAGGTAGACACGCACCTTAGTTTCACCTAATACTTATCAGCTATTGGCCAATACAAAATCAATATGTACAATTGTTTTCCCCCAGAGCATTTTAACAGCAAAGTTTCACCCACTGAAACAATAAGCCATAGCAATATATACCTGTATATAAATATTGTACACAATTTGACATACCTCAAAGTCAGAACTAGCGAACAATCTTTGGAATTGTGGGACAGTTTGAAGGTTAAGTTCAGGTTTCATCAACAGAAATCGTTGAACCATGGGATACATTGTATCTTCTGGTACAAAGAGAATCTGTAGAACTTTGCCGATAAATGTCGTAATAATATTAGATATCCGCATATTTGGCTCAGTTACTGAATTCTTCAAGCATTCCATTAGATAAAGAAACTGAAATAAAAAATATTTATTCAAAAGTTACACAAAATAAGTTTTCTTTGTAAAATACTTGTTGCTATGATATGCATATGGTTGCTATGAGAGAAATGTTCTGCTGATTGCTTACTTGTTTCTTTTCCTTGAATATTGCTCCTTCCAAATGTTGACAGAAGTCAGTTAACACAAGATACGCAGCCGCTCTCATGTTACTGTCAACACTGCTTAATGCACTTATTACTAACCCCAGACCATGAAACTCAACAAACAGTCTAACACCAACAACAGAAGCTGTGAAAACAAATCAGGAAATATGAAAATAAAACAATCATTGGAATGACAGATTCTATCACTGTGCAATAAACACAACCATAACAAGTCAGCCATCCTGCAACAGAACTGGTAACAAGTGTGACAACGTATGTGTACTTTGATTGCAAGACATTTCTAGGATGTGGCTATGAAACAGCATTTGTTGAAACAAAATAGCTGCCAGTCAGCCATTTTGAATCAGATCTGAAACACAGAATAACATGCATCATGTATTATGTTGACCGAAATCTGTTCTTGTTTACAACAGAGACCTAGTTTCCATGGAAACATACTCAGGTAACTCCACTTGTATTTGTTCTGTAACATACTTTATGTAAAATTTTATTCAGCAATTATTAAGATTTGCAGTGATTTTAAGTTTTGTAGTCAGCTCTATCCATCCTTATTATATTTGATTAATGTACATACAACTTACCAGGTGTCATTAAATGACTGAATAATGGCAGAAGAAAACATGGGTCATAGATGGACGGATTATCTGTGGTTATACTGTCTTGTAAACTAAGCTGAAGTCTCCTTTTAAGTGGAAATTTTAGAACTGTTTGTTGCATTTTATCTTTGTCCAATAACTGTAATATATCCTTCATACCAAGAACGTTTCTCAATGATGAACCAAACTGGTGTTGTTTTCTGTGTTGTTCCATTGCAGAAGCTCCCCACATATATGGCCTGTAGTGAAAATTAAATCATAGTGTACAGAAAATTCTGTCATATGCAAGGAATAACTGGAAATTCACAAGATGATGTTATTACATGAAGACAACCATACTCCATCCACCCATTTTTTCTGGCTAGAGTTCGGTTTCACATTTTGAACATTTTTTTTATAATTTTCTATAATTTCTTTATGAATTTTAGACCAGGTCATCTGTAGACAAAAATTATGGATGTTTATTTTGTGATAGCTGACAAAAGTTAACACATTCCTCATCACCATGACAACTTGATGATAATAATCCAGAAGTGAAATTACTGACTTCACAAATATTCAATAATGAGCTATACTGACCTGTATTGCCACATGACAGCATTATTGGCCTCATAAATATTCATAAGTTGTAATATTAATTGGTCTATTTTACTTAGTGTGCATCCATAAGCAGCAAGTAACACAGTGAAGTGTGAAGTATTGCAGCAATCCACAGGTTTTAATTTTGCCATCGTTAACAATAAAACTACAAGAAGTTCTGTGAAGGAAAATCAAGTTCATGATCGCATTAATACCGCGATAAAATTATCATTGTATAAAATACTATATACTTGAAACTAAATCACTAGAAATTTCAAATTGATTGTCATAGCAACCAATATATATCCGACTTTTGCTTAGCATATGAGGGAAATATATTTTTAACTGATTCATCTGGGAAGGGGTATTACACAATCGAACCATACAAAAATACCTTTATTTGTTTGTTTGTCATTTGTGTCCTCTTTGCTCATCATGGTTGCTAAGAACCTAGAATGACTGATGACCATTTGGTAGATGGTCGAAAGGTGAACAGCGCCCTCTATAGTAATAGATCCATATACTTTTGGTAGCAGTCTTGACAGGCATCTCAAGAAATCACTATTTTCATATCTGTTTTTCAGTCCTGTCTTGACGTATCGATTCCAGACTGGTGCGAACCCAGTTGTGGACGGTAATGATGAAAGTGTCTGATGTACACATATAGAAAGATGCAATACAAGAATTTACTTCACAAAAACTATTCTACACAAAATGACTGAAAACACTTATTATTGGTTTATAAGATAATGGAAAATGTGTTCAAATAAGTCTTGGTTTAAGGTGAAATAAAAATGCCAGTGATTGACAGTCTTCTGTTAGGTTAGGTTAATATTACTAGTGCCATCAAGTTAAATCATATGTTGGATAACTTTGCTGTTTCACAAGCAAGTCATTCCAGGGTCACAGATGAGTGTGATCTGTGATGCTATTTCGACAAACCTACTAACCACAGTTTGTATGACAATTTAACTTTTAAAATTAGTTCAAAAGCACAAAGTCGAGAGGAGCAGCATGTAATGATCATATATGGGGAGTTTTATTTGAAATTTCCACATAAAGAAAAACAACAAGTCTAAAAGCACTAAAACTTATGATCTAAATACAGTTTAAATAACAATAAATTTAATTCTGCTAATCACTGCTAAGTCATCCAGTCATCGCAACTCAGAAAATCCTAATTTTTAAGTGGATGGAACTTACTTGAGAACACCCCCCCCCCCCCCCACCACCACCACCACCACCAACACACTATCAAAATGAAAATTTGTGTTCACCATGTGCCAGGGGTTTGGGGGCATTTTACATGTCTAAAAATATAGAGCGCACGTATATGGTTTATCTTTATCTCTACTTTAAATAAATGGAAATCAATGTATACTCACCATGGCAACAGAAATCACTGATCTGTTCAGAAAGTGTTCCAACTGTATCTGTAGTGCATCTTTATGTAGAAGATTTAAACATTGCAGAGAACTCTTTATATAACTCATCTTATATTCATCGTTCTCATCTGTGTGTAATATCTGCATCATTCTTAGGCATCCTTCAGCCTGGTATCTAGGATAGTAATCATAAATTACATCATTACATCACCATGGTAACACATTATCACTACAGGATTTTATTTTTAAATATGTACTATATATTTGTGCTAAGTTATTCACTGTTCATCTCGTGACTATTTTTTTTTTCATTATATACAAGAGCAAATGTACATTTTGTCACAGAAACAATATTCATATTTGGGACAATATGACCGAGCTGTGTGGGCATCAAAAGACAATACTCAATTCTGGCATCAACCAGATTCAGTCAAACAAAAACAAGCATCTATGAGCATTATCAGTGTCACCAATAGTTGTGTAAAATTATAATATCCATTCCGCATGATCAAAACATCCACTAAACATAGCATGTTCCTCTATACATTGCCTGCTTCAAAACGCATACTCCATTGTAATTATTCAGCAGTTGAATACATAATTAATGAGGTCAAAGGTCATGTTACCATGGTATTCTTACCTGTTCCATGTTTGGCTGTGTTCAGTTACTTTACATATAAGCTGTTCATATTTGTTACCGATATCTTGATATCCAGTTATCAATTCACACCAAACTGAGAACTGAAGACTTTCCTCTACCTCGTTGTCTCGTCCTTCTAGTAACCATGGCAATAAGGCACAACGCAAAGATTCCAATGCATTTTTTGACTGTACACCTGAAATGAATAAGGTCATATAATAAAATTTTATTTCTTGCAATTTTTAAAATCTACAGTTCATTCAATTAAGTTAAACAACAAGTCAGAGTGAATGAAATCCCTGCCAATAAATCCTCAGTTATATCATATCAAATCAGAAAAACAGATATACAGTAGACAAAAACAACATCAACAAAATGGTCACTTTATCATCTGAACAAGGACTTAACAAAATAATATGATTATAAATATTATAAATTCCCTGACACACAAATTATTACAATATTATACAAAAAATAAAAGAATAAAAATTAAGAATTGATTTCATACCATTTGCAACAAGTTTAAACTTCTTCAAGTAGACACTGATGACTGGAAGATATACACTCTTGTTGTTGCTAAGCAACTTGAGATTACGTTTTCTTTGGCACCATTCCTCAAACTGTAGTTGATGTGCTATACTGTGAGTAACTAACACCTTAGAAATTTCAATTCTGATCTGAAATAAAGAGATGTCACTTTCAATTATGGAACATAACTTGTTCATATCAAGTTGTAATATGTACTTTAATAATCAGATTGCGGAAATTTATGTTAAAGAAAATAATCTACAATACGTGATAATAAACTATAAATTAAATTTGCCCAGACATGTCAAGAAATAATTAATGACATCTTCAAATTTTCACACACACACATCATGGAAAGTACTAACGAAAGGAGCCACGATTCCTCTCAAGTGGCCACTTAAGCCAGATTAAGATTTCGTGTAATGAAGTGAAGTCAAATTTGATTAGCGGTTGGCTTAATGTTATCGCAACAAATCGTTTGGATGTGAAAGTTTGTTTTCTTCCTGATTTGTAGGAAACTGTTTCTCAACTTGTCTCTTTAATTAGTTTCAAGCAGTGTTCAAGATGGCTACCCCCATTTATATATATATAGTAAATATCAGTGGATTAATCACTTATCATATTATTACTTGTACGCCAGCTAACTGGCTATTCTCAGACTTACCAGGAAAACTAATTATACATTATTATGCCTCGTAAAGAAAATCATTCAGGGGAATCCAAACATGTACCTGGCTACATAAAAGCATTCTATGTCCCTAATGCAATAAAGGCTCACCCAGAGTGGACACGACCAGGAGTCGATGCCAGCAAGTTTCGAAACCCAAGCAGTTAGCCAATAGTACCTTCCATGCACACATGAACGAATGAAATCCAAAACAGTGGCTAATAATCCTTGCACTAATCTGAAACGTACCTTTGATGGATTATCCAAACAATATTGCAGTGTTTCCATGGTGGTATAAACAACATATGTGAGATTATCTTTTAACAGTCTCAGCAAAATTACGTCAATGTCATGGCAACCAGCAAGCTGCATCATCTGAACCAATTGCTGAAAAGTTTCCTTAGATGGGACTTGTGATTCCATTATCTGTAGTAAAGCTTTCCCACATACAGTGGTTTTCTTTTCATCATCTATCAACACTTGCAGTGGAAGGGTAAGGAACTCTGTCATAATTTTTTGTAGGTCGTCGTTAGAAACCATAGTCAGATTTAGAGAAAACATCATCTGTATGCAGGTCTTCATCTGTGATCCAAGTGTGGCCTTCTCTGAATCTTTGGCAAATTTTTTTTTCAACTTTGTCGTTTTTTCAAAAATAAAATTGAAAAATTTCTTCATGTACATTTTATAAAGACTCTCAAATTCTGTTGTCATTACAACATGGTTTACTTTCACTAACAGACTACAAATGAATTCTGTCAGAACTTTACCAATTTTCAATGTGGTTTTAGAATCTGAAGACAGAAGAAACCACTCAAAAATAATCGGGTGGGTTAAAATGATTTCCATAAAATTCAAATTAGCATCATTTTCTTCTTCTGACTGATTTCTTTCTTTTGCTGGTTCTTTATCAAATTGCAGTGTTTCCATAGTAACAGAATGTTGAATAAGATGTTGCAATATTGACACATAAGCAACTACAACATTTTTCACCTGGACCATCTGAAAATGAACAATTCAAACATTTATGATTAGATTTGAAAAAATTGTTATAATATTGA